CCTCCTCCTCCTCGGGCCCCCCCCCGGGCCAGGACCCCCCCCCGGCCCCGCGGTTCCCGGTGGTGCCCACCCAGTACGGGCGGCTGCGGGGGGCGCGCCGGGACCTGAGCAACGAGCTGCTGGGGCCGGTGCAGGCGTTCCTGGGGGTGCCCTACGCCGCCCCCCCGCTGGGCCCGCGCCGCTGGGCGCCCCCCGAAGCCCCCGCCGCCTGGGGAGGGGTCCGCGACGCCACCGCCTTCGCCCCCGCCTGCCCCCAGAACCTGCGCGCCGGGCCCCCCCCGCTGATGCTGCCGCTCTGGCTCAGCGACAACCTGGAGGCCGCCGGCGCCTACGTGGCGGCGCAGAGCGAGGATTGCCTCTACCTGAACCTCTACGTGCCCACCGAGGACGGTAAATTTACCTGGGGACACACCTGGGCACACCTGGGCACACCTGGGACACACCTGGGGACAGCTGGGGACACACCTGGGGACACCTGGGGACAGCTGGGGACCACCCTGGGGACACCTGGGGACACCTGGGGACAGCTGGGGACCACCCTGGGGACACCTGGGGACACCTGGGGACAGCTGGGGACCACCCTGGGGACACCTGGGGACACCTGGGGACAGCTGGGGACCACCCTGGGGACACCTGGGGACACCTGGGGACAGCTGGGGACCACCCTGGGGACACCTGGGGACACCTGGGGACAGCTGGGGACAGCTGGGGACAGCTGGGGATGGTTCTGGGGCGGCACAGTGTGAGGATTGCCTCTACCTGAACCTGTACGTGCCCACCGAAGACGGTAATGACACACCTGGGGCAGGTGGGACACACCTGGGGATACCTGGGGACACCTGGGGACAGCTGGGGACACACCTGGGGACACCTGGGGACACCTGGGGACAGCTGGGGACACACCTGGGGACACCTGGGGACAGCTGGGGATGGGTCTGGGGCGGCGCAGAGCAAGGATTGCCTCTACCTGAACCTCTACGTGCCCACCGAGGATGGTAATGACACACCTGGGGCAGGTGGGGACACCTGGGGACAGCTGGGACAGCTGGGATAAAGCTGGGGACACTTGGGGACGGGTGAAGGACAGGGACACAGCTGGGGACACACCTGGATGTGTTTGTCACACCTGGGGACACACCTGGGGACACCTGGGGACACACGTAGGCACACCTGGGACACACCTGGATGCGTTTGACTCACCTGGGGACAGGTGAGGGACAAGGACACACCTGGGGACAGCTGGGACACACCTGGGGACAGGTGAGGGAGGGCGGGAATGGCGGGGTGGGCGTGGCTATTGAAATGGGGCGTGGCCAGGTGAGGTGGGTAGGGACAGGTAGGGGAGGGGCTCTAACCCCATTGGAGGACACGGCGGGTGGGCGTGGCCAGGTGGAGTGCGCGTGCGCAGTGGGGGAGGGGCGTGGCCGGCCCCGCTCAGGTGAGGGCGGGAATGGGGCGAAAAAGGAGAAAATTGGAGCAAAATGGGGAAAAACGGCGGGAATTGAGGGGATGGGGGCGGGGCGAAGGAGGGGGAGGGGCGGCTCCGCCCCCAAATCATCGTCCCCGAAATGGGGAGGAAAAATGGAAAATTGGGCAAATTCGGGGGCCAAAATGGGGATGAAAATGGAGAAATTGGGAAATGGGGCAAAATCCAGGAAAACCGGCCAAAAGAAGGCGGGAAAATGAGGGGGCGTGGCCCACCTTGACCCCGCCCCAAAGTGGGGGAAAAGGGGCGGAAATGGCAAAAATCTGGGCAGGAAAGGGGGAAATTGGGAAATTGGGAATTTGGGGGGAAAAGCGGCAGAATTGGGCAAATCGGGGTGTGGGGAGCCCCTCCCCCACCGGAGCCACAGCCCCGCCCCCAAGCCATGGCCCCGCCCCCGCGCTCCGGGGTCCCCACGTCCATCCTGGTGTCCATCCAGTGTCCACTCTGGTGTCCATCCATTGTCCATCCTGGTGTCCATCCAGTGTCCACTCTGGTGTCCATCCCAACATCCCAATGTCCATCCAGTGTCCACTCTGGTGTCCATCCAGTGTCCATCCTGGTGTCCATCCAGTGTCCACTCTGGTGTCCATCCATTGTCCATCCTGGTGTCCATCCAGTGTCCACTCTGGTGTCCATCCATTGTCCATCCCAACATCCCAATGTCCATCCAGTGTCCACTCTGGTGTCCATCCCAACATCCCAATGTCCATCCAGTGTCCACTCTGGTGTCCATCCAATGTCCATCCAGTGTCCATCCAGTGTCCAGTGTCCATCCAGTGTCCATCCAGTGTCCACCCCAGTGTCCATCCTGTGTCCACCCCAGTGTCCATCCAGTGTCCACTCTGGTGTCCATCCAGTGTCCATCCCAATGTCCATCCTGTGTCCATCCTGGTGTCCATCCAGTGTCCATCCCAACATCCCAATGTCCATCCACTGTCCATCCAGTGTCCATCCCAATGTCCGTCCAGTGTCCATCCCAATGTCCATCCAGTGTCCATCCTTTGTCCATCCCATGTCCATCCAATGTCTGTCCAATGTCCATCCAGTGTCCTGTTGTCCACCCGTGTCCATCCCAGCGTCCCTCTGTCCATCCAGGCCCTCTCTCCGTCCTCTGTCCATCCCAACCTCCACCCCGGTGTCCATCCCAACATCCCGGTGTCCATCCCGGCCACGCCTCTGTCCATCCATCCCGACGTCCACCTCGGTGTCCATCCCAACGTCCCGGTGTCCACCTGCCCTCCGGCCGCACCTCCGACCGTCCATCCCGGCATCCCGGTGTCCATCCCGGTGTCCATCTGTCCTTCAGCCAGGTATCTCTGTGTCCACCCAGTGTCCATCCAATGTCCATCCAGTGTCCATCCAGTGTCCACCCAGTGTCCATCCAGTGTCCATCCAGTGTCCATCCAGTGTCCATCCCAATGTCCATCTGGTGTCCATCCAGTGTCCATCCCAATGTCCATCCAGTGTCCATCCAATGTCCATCTGGTGTCCATCCAGTGTCCATCCCAATGTCCATCCCAGTGTCCATCCAGTGTCCATCCAGTGTCCATCCAGTGTCCATCCAATGTCCATCCAGTGTCCATCCCAATGTCCATCCAGTGTCCATCCAGTGTCCATCCAGTGTCCATCCAATGTCCATCCAGTGTCCATACCAGTGTCCATCCCAATGTCCATCCAGTGTCCATCCAGTGTCCATCCAGTGTCCATCCAGTGTCCATCCGGTGTCCATCCCAATGTCCATCCAGTGTCCATCCAGTGTCCATCCAGTGTCCATCCAGTGTCCATCCAGTGTCCATCCAATGTCCATCCCAGTGTCCATCCAATGTCCATCCCAGTGTCCACCCAGTGTCCATCCCAATGTCCATCCAATGTCCATCCAGTGTCCATACCAGTGTCCATCCAATGTCCATCCAGTGTCCATCCCAATGTCCATCCAATGTCCATCCCAGTGTCCACCCAGTGTCCATCCCAATGTCCATCCAATGTCCATCCAGTGTCCATCCAGTGTCCATCCCAATGTCCATCCCAATGTCCATCCGGTGTCCATCCAGTGTCCATCCAGTGTCCATCCAATGTCCATCCAGTGTCCATCCCAATGTCCATCCAGTGTCCATCCCAGTGTCCATCCAGTGTCCATCCAATGTCCATCCAGTGTCCATCCATTGTCCATCCAGTGTCCATCCATTGTCCACCTGCCGCCCTCCGTCCATCCCCGCCCGGCCCCTCCCCCGGCCCCGTTTTTGGGCCCTTTTCCCGTTTCCCCCCATTTTCGGGGTTTTTTCTCCCCTTTTTCCCCTCCCCGGATTTTTGGGGGGGGGGGGTGGAAGGTTCCAAATTCCGCTTTTTTCGGGGGGGGGATTTTTCCCCTTCCCCCCCCTTTTTTTTTTGTGGTTCCCCCCCCTGACCCCGACCCCGTTTTCGCTCCTTTTGGCCCCAAAATTTTTCCTCCTTCTCTTCCCTCGGTCCAGGTTTGCTCGGCAAAAAGCGCGAGGACGGCGCGGCCGGCGGCCCCCCCCCGGACTCAGGTAGTTTTGGTGCATGTTTTGGGGCAAATTCCAGCTTTTTTGGGTGTTTTTCTATCGTTTTTTTGGTTCTTCCCCCCCATTTCTTTTTTTTTTTTTTTTTTTTTTTTCCTCTTTTTTTTTTTTTTTTTTTTTTTTTTTTTCTTGTGGTTTTCTCTTTCTCTCCCT